AAAAATAGTTGAACTGAACTTTCCCTGATGTCAGTCAGGTCTGATTTTGTTAGGTAATGGGTGCCTAACATATATTCCATCACCTGAGTTAAGTTTTCCAGTCAGTCTGCTCCCAATAACGCAGGTAATTGCATAAGATAGCCTATTCACTGAGGGGCATGGCCATAACTGTCCTTCGCCTTCTGTGAGGAAAAAAATAGAATCAGAGTCTCTCTTGTGATTCACTCTGATAACCATAAATTCTGGAAGTTTCTAGGCACCAAACAGAAATTATTATCTGACACCTTTCCTGCTTATCAAAACTGGTAAAGCCCGTTGGGGGGACGTAGGGAAAGCAGGAGAAGGAATACAGGAAAGAATGGGCTTCCATATGTGAAATCTCATGCTTCAACAAAAAAGGAGAGGAGAGGAATAAAGAATTAGAGCAAGTCTCCCAGAGAAAAATGTTTCATCCATTTTGAGAGTGCAAGTATAGTCCTCTATTGTTGAAATAAATACTTCATCCTGCAATATGGCAAGCACTATCATCCCACTCTTTGTAATGCCTTAGATCCTGTGTCTTTATCTGGACTCTTTGCCTACTAAGGGATTTTGGAAATGGCTGAGAAAATCTGCCAATGACAACATCCATATCTCCCGCCCAACCATGACCTTCAGGAGGTTCGCGTTGCCCTGTTGCGTGAAGTAGAGGGTTCTCAGAATGGACATTCCTATCTTCACAGCGTGCCTTCAGATAGGTCCCTTCCTTCCTGAAGAGATAGAAGTGTAGTTTAGCCAGGCAGGTGACCCTTACCTCCACCCCAGATCTAGTCAGAAAATTCATTTCGTCACCATTATTAATAGCTGGGTGTGCTAATGTTTCCTGAACGTGATAAGAACCACACAGACCCAGAAGGAAACAAACCCATGACTCGGCACTTTTCCCTCCCGTTCGGCAGCCTTAGAAAGTTTCCTACTGGACGTATGGATATCTGTGGGGCCCTGAACTTCTGGCTGATGTCTGCTTGAAGATCTAACATTGTGTGATAGGGTGTGCAGCCGCTAAATTTCAGAAAAATAGTAGATAGTCTCTGTTTAATACCACTCTCTCACTCTCTGGCTACTGAAAGGGGATGAGTTCTGTTCTGTACTTCATTAATTAAATGTTCTTAACTTAATTACAGTGCCAGTTTCTACTTCCTGAATTCCAATTAGTTTGCCAAAGGGATGGAACCTAATGCCCTAATATTTACTGCAAATTGTGTACAAGTTGTGTGTGTGTATGTGTGTGTATCAGATTAACCTCTTTATCTCCCCATGAGATAAGAAATATTCAAATATTCACCTCTTTTAAAGATGGGGATGCTGAGTTTCAGAGAGGTAAATGATCAGCCCAAGATCAAACAGCTAATTAGAGACAGATCCAAAATTCAGCCCCTGGTCCATTGGTCTTCTAGTGCGAAGACGCCACCTCAGGCAGCATAATGTGGATGGAAGCAGGACTGAACTGTGTCCTCCAAGACTTACATGTTGAAACCCTAACCTCTTAAAGTGAGTGCATTTGGAGATATGACCTTTAGAGAGGTAGCAAAGGTTATGTGAAGTCATAAGGGTGGGACCCCCATCAGATAGGACGGATGTTCTTCTAAGAAGAGGAAGAGACATTAGAGATCTCTCTTTCCATGCACACAGAGAAGAAGCCATGAAAACAGAGAGAAGAGAGTTGTCTATGAGCCAGGAAGAGGACCTCACCAGAATCTAACCTTGGGGGCACCTGATCCCAGACCTCCCGTTCCAGAACTGTGAGAAAATAAATGGCTGTTGTTTGAGTTCCCTAGTCTGTGCCTCATCAGTATGGCCACCCTAGCAAACTCAGAAGCTCAGCTTGGGGCCTTTAAAGACTTTCTCTTCAAAACCCCTCATGGAACACTCAAGAAAGATGTCTTGCCCTAAACTCACATTCCACAATGCCTTCCTTATCACCACCCTGCCTCTCCAGCAAAGTCAGGGCTAAATGAGGTGGGTGAGGCATTTTCCCAGGGCAAAAAAAAAAAAAAAAAAAAAAAAAAACAGTAATTTCCTAGGGACACCAAAAAATCAGTAAGTCAAATAACATTTTAATGAAATATGTTTTAAATCAATATTAATGCCAAAAAATCTCTGATGCTTTGGCTACTTTGCACTTTTGCCCACAGCTAGCTATGGTTGAGAGATATTTGTCCTTGGCTTTTCAGTGTAAGTGGAACCCTGTGAGTGAACCTCAAAGTCCATTCTTGAGATAAAGGAACCGCCCATTTTTTCCCCACGATGGATGATTATTAAGCAATAATCAATAAGTTTGGGCTGAGTGTTGACCATGTTGCAGACTCTGTCCTGGGTGCAGTGTGTTCAATAATGAATAAGGAAGATGAAGCTGCCACATAGGAAGGGCCATCTGTAGTGGGGGCAGGAACCAGAGGTGGTGTCAGGCTATAGTACCCAGGCTACTGTATTCAAAGGAGGCATATTCAAAGGGGAGCAGGTGATGGAAGCCCATAGAAGACACCAAAGACTGGCCAAGGACATCAGGAAAGAAGTCCCAAGGAAAGTGACATCTCCATTTACCAAATGACCAGGGCAAGGAAACATGGAGCCAGCCACAGGAGAAGCATGTGTAAATCCTCAGAGAGGTTGCTATCACCAAGTCTCATGGCATTGAGAGCTCATGACCTCCTGTAATACAGGTGTGCTTCTTTCCCCCATATGTCCATCTGGTCCATCAACAAATTCTGTGGGTTCCACTTCCAAACAGATAGTCCAACTACCTTAGACAAGGCTATGTCTACCCCCAGCCTGAGACTCCTATGTGGTCAGGAGTCACTCAATGCTCAATGCTGATGTGAGAACCATCCTGCTAAAGTATAGGTCTGATCATGTTACTTCTCATGCCCAAACCTTCCAACTTCTTCTCATTCTACTCAGGGTAAAGTCAAATAAGTCAAATGATCTCCCTTGCAGGGCCCCCTTTCCTTTAGCTCTCTCACTTTATCTCTTTATAACAACTCTATAATTGATTCTTTGTTATTTCTGTCCCCTACTGACTGCCCAAACAACCACCAGAAAAAACCTGTTGGTCAAGTCAAGTCAAGTTTATTAGAAGTATTTAAAAATAAAAAGTTAAGGGTGCCTGGGTGGCTCAGTCAGTTGAACGTTGGACGTCTAGCTCCTGACTTCAGTTCAGGTCATGATCCTAGGGTTGTGAGATCAAGCTTCCACGTTGAACTCTGTGCTGAGTGTGGAGCCCGCTTGAGATTCTCTCTCTCTCTCTCTCTCTCTCTCTCTCTCTCTCTCTCAAATAAAAGAAAAAGAAAAATTAGAGCAGAGTACTTATAAGGGCTTAAGGCCTGGGCTAAGTGATGTCAAACATGATCTTGCAAGGAGATGAACCGGCTAAAAGTGGAAAATTTATGACAATTGGCTACAACCAAATATCTGAGAACCAGACGATTCTGCTGTAAAGCAAAACGGGGGTCTCATAGGACTTGGCAAATGAACTATTAGTCTTGATAAGTGAGCACCATTTCCTAGTATTGTTTAACACATGAATTGAAAATTATTTGTTTCACTTCTCAGACCACAGAATGTAAGCTCCATGAGGGCATAGATTTATATTTCTGTTTGTTCATTTCTATCCCATCTTATAGAATAATGCCTGGTGCTGAGTAGGTCTCAATAAGTATTTATTGTCTGAAAGAATGAATGTTATTATTCTGAATTTTAAAATAAGGAAACAGAAACTCAACCTCCCTAAGTCATATAACTAGATAGCAAGACGTCTGAGATTTGAACACAGGATTGATTCTAAAGACAGCTCTTTTTCGTGCCACCCTGCTGAAGGTAATTAATGTTTAGTGATGCCCCACATTAAGTGCTTTAAAAACCGTTTATCATTGGGGCGCCTGGGAGGCTCAGTCGGTTAAGTGTCCGACTTCGGCTCAGGTCATGATCTCACGGTTTGTGGGTTCGAGCCCCACGTCGGGCTCTGTGTTGACAGCTCAGCCTGGAGCCTGTTTCAGATTCTGTGTCCCCCTCTCTCTGACCCTCCCCTGCTCACACTGTCTCTCTCTCAGAAATTAAAAAAAAAACTTTTATCATTTAATTCAATAACTTTACAGTGGAGGTACCATCATTATGCTCTTATACAGGTGAGACTTAAAGAAAGTAAATCACCCAAGATCAAAAACTCCCAAGTGCAGAGATAGCTCTCAAAGTTAGGTTATGGCGACTCAAAACATATGCTATAGCCAAAAGTTGGAAGCAACCCAAGTGTCCCTCAATGGATGAGTGGATAAACAAAATGTGATATATAGATACAATGGAATATTATTTGGCTTTACATAGCAAGAAAATTCTGATTTTGCTACAGCATGAATGAACCTTGATGACATTATACTAAGTGAATAGGCCAATCACAAAAACCCAGCCCCACATGATTCTATTTATATGAGGCATTTACATTAATCAAAACCATAGAGACAGAAAATATGGTGGTTGCCAGGGGCTGGGGAAAGAAGGGATGGGAGATTATTGTTTAGTGGTTACAGAGCTTCAACTTTGCAAAGCTATGCTAAAACAGTTGTATGCTCAAAAAACTATATAACCTAGATGAAATGGACACACAAAAACTACCAAAATTAACCCCCGAAGAAATAGAAAATCTGAATAGACCTATAACTAGTAAGCAAATTGAATCAGTAATCAAAAGCCTCCCAACAATAAAAGCTGAGGATGACTTTACTAGTGAGTGAATTCTACCAAACACTTAAAGAAGAATTAACATTAATCCTTGTCAAACTTTTCCAAAAACTTAGAGAAGGAAATGCTTCTCAAGTCATTTCATAAGGCCAGTATTACTCTGACACTAAATCCAAAGAAACTACAAAAATGAAAACTTCAAAACAATATCCCTTATGAATACTGATGCAAAAATCATCAACAAACTATCAGCAAACCAAATTCAGTAGCATATTAAAAGAATTATAAGCTTTGCGCAGTGGCAGTATCGTAGCCAATGAGGTTTATCCGAGGCGCGATTATTGCTAATTAAAAGAATTATACACCATGACCAAGTGAAACCTATTCCCATATGGAAAGAATCGTTCAACATCTGAAAATCAGTGTAATGCACTACATTAACAGAATGGAGGGGGAAAGCCACACAATCAAATTCAACTGACACATACAAAAAATTTCAAAAATTCAACAACCTTTCATGATAAAAGCACTCAGTAAACTAGGACTATAAGGAAATTTGTCAATATGATAAAGGCCATATATTTTTTTAAAGGACACCCAGCTAGGGGTGACTGGGTGGCTGAATTGGTTGAATGTCCAATTCTTTATTTCGGCTCAGGTCATGACCCCAGGGTCGCGGAATCGAGCCCTGCATCAGGCTCTACACTGAGTATGGAGCCTGCTTAAGATTTTCTCTCTCTCCCTATGCCCCACTCCCCTACTCATGCTCTCTCTTTCTCTCTCTAAAATTTAAAAAAGAAATTAAAAGAAAAAGACACAGCTAATATATTCAAAAAACTCTTCAACATATGGTCAACTGATTTTCAATAAGAGTGCTAAGACCATTCAAGGGGGGGAAAGACAGTATGAAAAATAAGCTAAAAAGAGAGAGGGAGGCAAACCATAAGAGACTCTTAAATACAGAGAACAAACAAACAAGTATGAATAAATAAATAAATAAATAAATAAATAAATAAATAAATAAAATACAGAGAACAAACTGAGGGTTGCTGAAGGGGAGGTGCCTGGGGAAGGACGGGCTAAATGGGTGATGGGCAATAAAGTCGGCACTTCTTGGGATGAACACTGAGTGTGATACATGTAAGTGATGAATCACTAAATTCTATTCCTGAACTCATTACTACGCTGTGTGTTAACTAACTTGGATTTAAAAATTAAATTAAGAAAAAAGAACTCTGAGGTATCTGAGAGCTTACTCTACTTAGAAGCCAGTAAGTTGGTCTGCTAGTATTTCATGGATGGTGGCAAAAGACACACAACTCCTAAGTCACAGACACACACACAAAAAATATATTGCTCCCTACATAGCAAACAGTATGAGCATCAGCATATTGTCATGAGTTCTTGCCCCCAAGTTCCATGGGGGGTTCCAGATGAACCCAGATGGGCACCTGCAGACACAGCACGTTGTGTTATAATACAGAAGACAACCCTGAGCTTAGGGTAGCTTTTATACTGAGCAGTAGGCCTGCCTGCCCTTTGCCCCACAGGGAGACATTATCTCCATCATCCATTGATATTTACTATATAAGTATTCTTGAAAATACATAGAGCAGTCAATACTTATGCAGGCTAGGTTTGCAGGAACTCAAGGGAGCCATGGGAGAACTGTTTCCCCCTACATGCACCCGTCATTTCTGCACCATCTTGGTTTCTGGTCAGTTTCCCCATAAGTATGCCACTCAGTCCTCCTCTACAGTTTATCTGACCAACAGAGGCTGGGGCCAAACCCATTCAATTTTTCTCATATTTTTCTCATATGAGGCATTTAGTTAAGGTGAATGCCTACAGGACTCCAAGCAGCAGGACGTGGCCAGTACTGACCTCAGTCATGCTCCTCAGGGTCCTGGATCCAATGGGGCTGAACAAATCCCATATATCATCAAGATCTTCTTTAGAAATCCAAGTGGCTTTCTCTTGTACTATATTCATCTTTTAATTTGGCCCAATGCATTAATCCAGGAAGGAGGAAGTCTAGGGTAATTGTATCCATCATAACAATCTTGGCCAATATATTTACACTGGCTTTCAAAGACAAGGTCATTATCAGTATTCACTCCAGCTGAAATCAGGGGCAGATTCCATGCCACCTCTTCTAACTGGATGCTTCCCGTCACAGGAAAACCTGAAGGTGGGGTGCATATCAATAACAAGCCAATTATCCCTCCAGAACACTCCCTTGAGAACCAAGGTATAACTGTTTAGGGAGAGATCTCCACAGTTGTGTGAGGGCTACATGACCCCCTAACGGTATTTCATTAACTATTGTAAAGTCTTCTATGGCCACCCTTAGAGGTGCAGTCCCCATGTTATCATGAGAAAGGCGAATTAACACGTGAGTTCCAAGCTGGATGTACAACACTGAGAGTGCGCAACTGTTGGGGCCATTCAAATGAGCCCTACAACATTGGGGTATATGTGAAAAGTTTGACAATGTCAAGGACACGGCCTCCTGGGCAGCTCCTATGGGTCTCAGTTCAGTTTAAATAATTGAGTCCCATCCTTATTTTTAGAACGAGACCTGTCCTGTTTGTACGTGGCACAGAAGAGCAGTATGCATTCCCCCCCCCCCCCAGAATGATGGAATAATGCCTACAGGAATTGGGGGTGGGAAAGCAATCCAGTAGTGCCAACAAGGGGTTTGCATGGCAAGGTCCTCCTCTGTGGCTCCCAATAAATTTCTCTGTAAGGTTAAGGTCATGATCAATCATGGTCAGAGAGTCATCTGGAGGAAGGTGGCTGAGCAAGCAGTCTTAAATTTAAGTAACTTGCAACAGTACAAAGAGGGTGCACCAGGACATTTTCCATTTTCCTCGGAGAGGTTCCAGAGGACAATCATTAATGTCACTCATTCCCCCTCGGGAGGTCTAAGGTGTTCCCTTCCCAGGTGCCAGGATCTTTGCTCTCCCTCTATCACCCCAAAATTGGTGTGGGTCATTTTAGTACCTATAACTTCACCTGTTGTTCAGATATTTCCCTATTCACACCACGACCATTCTTTGGAAAGGTCAAGTGCACAAGGGACAAGGACACTTTTATAACATGTGTAAGAGCATTTGTGTTAGTCTGCTAGGGCTGCTGTAACAAAACGCCACAGACTGCGTGGCTTCTACAACAGACATTTATTTTCTCCCGGTTCTGGAAGCTGGGAAGTCCAAGCTTCAGGTGCCAAGGGTGTATTCTGGTTAGACCTCTCTGATTTCCAAAAGCTGCCAATTCAACGTGCCTCTACATGGCCTTTCCTCTGTGCTAGTGCAGAGACAGACCTCTGGGTCACTTCTTCTTCTTCCCACTACAGACATGAAGACTATTGGATTAGGGCTCACCCTTACGGCCTCATTTAACATTAATTACTTCTGTACAGGCCATATCTACAAATATAGTCACATTGAGGGTGAGCACTTCATCATATGAACTGGGAGGTAGGGGGACAAGACTCAGTCCATAACAACAGTTACCCATCCCCCCATCTCAGCACGTGTGGGCCGCTGTAGGAAGAATTGGTAAGTGGTGTATACTCAATCAGGTGATCATTATCTTTATCATGTAGGGCCATGCTAATCCAACAAGAGAATTTAGGTAGCTGAAGCAGAAAAGTATATATGAGTACGGGCTTCCTTTTGGCTGGGTAGTCCACAGAGAGTGTACCACCAGGCCAGCCTAGAACTGCCAATAGGTGAAAGAAAGAAGCATAATGGTCAATTATCGTAAGGGAGGCATCCAAACTTTTTATTTACTTTAAGTTTATTTATTTATTTTGAGAGTACATGTGCGAGCAGGAGAGGGGCAGAGAGAGGCGGGGAGAGAGAATCCCAGCACAGAGCCCAATACAGGGCTCTATCCCCCAACTATGAGATCATGACCCAAGGCAAAATCAAAGAGTCAGATGCTTAAGTTGCAGGGTACAAAAATCAACGTACAGAAATTGTTTGCGTCTTTATACACCAACAATGAAGCAACAGAAAGAGAAATCAAGAAACTGATCCCATTCACAATTGCACAAAAAACCATAAAATACCTAGGAATAAACCTAACCAAGGATATAAGAGATCTGTATGATGAAAACTATAGAAA